ATCACATACAATTCGACAATTAAAGAATTAATATTCAAGTTTAATTAGTTTGCAAAGTCTATAATAAATTTTTTTTTGATATTTTTTAATTAATTTTATTTATTTTTTATAGCAAATATAGATATATTTTCTTTTTTATATCTAATTTTTTTTAGTTATTTAATAGCTTTATTTTTAATAAAATTGTTTATTATTAGATGTTTTGAAGCTGTTAATATATTCTTATTATTAATATTAATATATAAAGTTTCTAAATATATTTTAAAATATAATATAAAGTAATATATAGTCAGATTCCTCTAAATACATCCTTCTTAAATGCAGCATCCCTCTAAATACATGATATGAGCCTAGCTCATAGTAGGATCTATAGATAAATACATATTCTTTATTCTGTAAATACACACTATTTTTTCAGCCTATTTATAACAAACTCTCTCTATAAATATATTTACATAATTAATAGCTGATCAAATTCATTTAGTTCTTTGATGATTTTAAATCATAATTACATTTAAATATATTATTATTGCTTGATCTGATGACTTTATTTTTATGCAAAAGAATATATAGGAATTCCATTCACTATCATATACAGGTTTTACAGGCTCTATACCAAACTGCTTAAATGATTATATCTCTAAGAGAATATCTTATTCCAAATAATCATACAACCTATCTCCTATTAAAGACCACATATAACATATCATACCAGAAATATAACAAGAAAGAATTTTATAGCTATAAAGAGAATTGGTAGTGTAGGTATTTAATCGTATGAATATTACTAAAATATAGATTCTTGTATTGCCTATAGTAGTCATAGAGTTTAGTTACCTGAAATATGAAATTATTATGCTGCCTACAGTAGCTATGAAGTTAAATACCAAACAGAAGGTCCTTGTACTGCCTATAGCAGCTGCAAATCTTAAATATCAAACAAAAGATCCTTTATTTTCTATAGCAGCTATGGAGTCTAAATACCAAAAGTGAGATTCTTGTGCTATCTACAGTAGCAAGAGTCTAATTACCAAATATAAAGTTCTTATTCATTAATGACAGCTACAAGACCTAATAGTACTAACCAATATCTTGCTAAACAAGTGTACTAGTTTCAAAAAGTTACTAAGAAATAGATATGAGAGTAGGATGATAGAGCCAGCCTTCACTTCAAGATGAGCAATAATGAAAAGAAAGATACATATTCAGAACTATATAATTACCCCTTGCTTCCTTCATGTAATTCACATTTCAACAACCATATTAACCAAAATCAGTAAGACTATACACAAATATCTATAAGAAGCTAAATGACAAATTGAACATGTAATTCATAAAGTCATCTGATTTTGCAATAATGATCGCCTTGTTACTTTGTTGACAAGCTTCTCAATTGTTTAAAATCTTGAATCCCAATAGTGAATAGTTATATCCTGAAGAACTACAATCCTATAAATATATCATCCCAAATATAATAATCTTAAATAATAGTATTTTATAAACAATCATAAATACAAAAATATTGATATTTATATTACGTTCAGAATTATTATATTTGGGATTATTATATTAAAGATTATGTATTTATAGGATTGTGATTTTTCAGGATCAAAATTATTTAGATTTTTTTTTCAGGATTTAGCTTTCAAATTAATTGATTGTCAAAATATTGTTCTTTCTGAATTTTAAGTACTGAAGTGTCAAGATTTAGATACTAAGCCATATATCCAGGGTTGGCAATTTGTCCATTGTCATCAATGGAGCTCCGGTCCATTGACTCAAAAAATTAACTCCATTGAAGATATATTTTTTCAA